CTGTGACAAAGACCCCCTGTACTTTGTTTTGTGACAAACCCCCCCCTATACTATGACCATGAGATAAAGATCGCCCTTGACTGTTAAGTCAGATGATGGAATGTGTTAAATTACCAAAATACCCCACTAAATTTTTTCTACTTTTTGCYTTTTTTTTCTTAAAACTTGTTTAACCTATTGTTTTCCTTTCTTTTCTTCTTTTCCCCTCCCTCATCGTCCTCTCATTCTCTCCCTCCCAGCTCTTCCAAAATGGAGCCGGAGGCTCTCCTGCAGCACTTACGGAGATGGGGCCGGAGCCAGAGCTGCCTCCCCTGCAACACTTGCGGAGCCAGAGCCGACGTCACGTCCCAACCTAAACGTGTTCGTCGTGGTTGGACTCGTGGACTACTTACTAACTACCAAAACCATTTGCAGAAGATACACGGTTTTGGCATCATCACGCCCATCGACTACCTACTAACTACCAAATATGTAGATTATGCAGATTTTCTTTCCAAGCTTTTGATTCTCCGATTTGATAAATCTACACGGAACAAACCTATTTCCTCCCTCCCCTGAATTTTTTCTCCCCTTCCCATCTCAATCCTCTTATCCTTTCCTATATATCCTCATTTCTTCCAACATTCATTGGATTATCGGCCTCATTTACTTGGTTCCTGTTTTCTTCTTTTTTCTATTTATTTCCATCTCACGACTCCCTCTCCCTCTCTGCTCAAATATCTTTGAATCATCAAAGGAGAAAAATGGAGAACAATCAATAGTCATTCTGGCAATTCAGCGATCAGTGAGGCTACAATCGACAAACTTTGCAAATCTTTCTCTTAACGATTTAGTATGGGGGAATTCAGCGATCAACTAAGTCCACGAGCCGGAGCCGGTGTCACGTCGTGGTTGGACTCGTGGACTACATACTCCAAAACCGCGTATCTTCTGCAAATGGTTTCATAGAAGAGAAGCAATGAAGAGATGTATTGTGTTCATTGGTTTCCAAAGGCTCCACAAGGCGTCGGAACATGTCCCCAACTCAATGGAGAGAGAGAGAGAGAGAGAGAGAGAGAGAAATGTGAAGGAACGAAAGGGTAATATCGGAAGGTCGGGGAAGATGAACAGCATTTTTCTCCTAGTTATTACAAGGGTAGTATGGGGATTAAAAAATATTGTAGCGGCTTTTTTGGATGGAAGGGGGTATTTGTAATTTACCCTAAATTATTTATTGTAAAATGGAAAAAATAATCCGTTGGATTGGCGAATACAATAAAAATACTTTGTTGAGAGTGGGATTTGAACCCACGCCCTTTCGGACCAGAACCTTAATCTGGCGCCTTAGACCAACTCGGCCATCTCAACTTTTTTATACAAATTCGCACTCTTAATATATTAAAAACATAATCAAATAAAAACCTGAAGTCAAAAGTGAACACTTTGAGTCCATTCCGGCGCCGTAGACCAATTTAGCCTGTCTCGATTTCAATTGCATATATTCCTCGAACATTGAATCAATGTAGGGAGTTGTGAGACTTTGGACCCGATTAAAAACTGGAATGCTGATTGGGTTACAATTTTATCACACTTTTATCCGCAAATGTGCAAATGCTCTGCACTTGGATATTTTAGATGACTATGATTGTTAATATGTATCTAATTTTTTTTTATATATTTTTGTGTTTCTTTTTTAATTGTTTATATTTATCATAGTTATTTTTATTTGATATGATGAATATATGATATTCATTAATTGTTCTTCTTTTTAATTGTTTATTGGTGAGAAAAAAAAACCTTAATATAGGATTTAATGAGGGAGAATTAGAATTAATATCTCAAATAATATATAAGACTAATGAAGGTATTTGAAGATCTAATTACATTTTCTATCATCACAATTAGAGATGGACTAAATTAAAAGAAAAAAAAAAAGTATTTAATCAAATCTAAAATAAAAAAATCCAAAGCCCATAAATTTAATATCAATGAGATGGCTAAATTCCTATTAAAATTCTTTAACTCCCTTATTCAAGAGTTATTCATAATGACTCTTTAGTTCCTATGGCTCAGTTTGGAAGGAGTATAAACACAAAAATGTACAGTGCAAATACATTCAAAATAATACAAAATACAAGATTTTAACACTCTACATATTTGTATTTGTACTCTTTCCAAACTAAGCCTATATTTCAAGGCCTATCAAATTCTTATTAAAATTCTGCCAGGTTACCCACATGACAAATAAGAATCCCAGCACTACACACATTAATTTTTATTTTGTGTCCATTTGGAAGGGCTTTAGAGACACGGCTTATGGCAATTCCGATCTAGCCTCAAAAGTTGTGTTTGGTAAAAATCTGGAAAGCCGACCAGGGCTTTCCAAATGCCGCAACCACTGCTCAAATATGAAGCTACTCTGAATAACTTCTCTAGACAGGCCATCTGCGCTCAATCACCACAGTACTCTACATAGATGCTTTGACTTTAAGGCTCTGTTTGTAGTGCAATTAAACCATATATAAATTTTGCATCCTTTTATTTGTGATTGTGATTTCCACTTTGGCTTGATTAAAAGAAAATTTACATTTCTGTCTTGTTTGCAACACCTTCCTCCAATTTTGATTCTCTCTCGTCTAAGTCGAGACCCCATTACTTTACCTATTTTGCTCCTCCTTACCAAAAACCATGAAGTGGGGATCACATCATCCCTTTCCCATTTTACTCCTCAAAAACAAACAAAACAAAGTCAAACCTAAAGCAAAAGCCATCTGGAATCCACACTTCAGCCTATTTGCAGTCTCATGCATTTACATCAGTTTGTTCATGAGCAAATGGGAACTCGGTTGGGTGCATGTAGGTTAAAAAGTCATTTCTTATATCTCGGGGCATTCCCACTACTATAAATTATAATTCGGATTAGCTGAACATGATGATCGACTGTGTAGTAAGCTATGAAACCAATAATAATGCTCCACACCAATGATAAACACATATCATTCACAACTACTCGCACTCTCACTTAGCATTTATGACTAGTGT